TCGTGTAGATTCCGAGGCTGCAATGCTAACGAACTGTTTCTTTATTACAGAAGTACTACTTTGCGACGGCTAAAGAGTTGATGCGGCTAAATGGCACGACGAGGTCTTTGGTGGCGAACCATCTGGCGGAATCCGTAGCAGGAGGGATGACAATAAGGGCTTTTGACGAAGAAGAGAGATTCTTCAAGAAGAATCTTGTTCTCATCGACACGAATGCAAGCCCCTTCTTCCTTAGCTTCGCTGCGAATGAATGGTTGATCCAACGGTTGGAAACTGTAAGCGCCATTGTTCTTGCCTCCGCTGCTTTCTGTATGGTTCTGCTCCCACCCGGGACATTTAGCTCCGGTGAGTCATTAATAAATCTCTTGAACAAAATGGTTTTCTTGCAATCTAATATTCCGTTTCCATTGAAGCGATTCATTCGGGGTTTATATGATGAACAACAGAAGAGATGTATTTTACTTGTATGTCTGCCTGCAGGGTTCATTGGAATGGCGCTCTCATACGGTCTGTCGTTGAACATGGGGATTGTATTTTCCATACAAAACCAGTGTTACTTAGCCAATTGGATTATTTCCGTGGAGAGGCTTAACCAATACATGTACTTACCGAGCGAAGCTCCTCAAGTCATAGAGGATAACCGACCACCGCCCAATTGGCCGGACAGAGGCCGTGTCGAAATCTCTGATTTGCAGGCAAGTCCCCTGTTTTCTTAGACCGTAGAGAAAGAAAAGCTGATTCTAAACCAACGTTTTCGCTCTTTACAACTCAATACCCCAATGACTATGTTATCTATAATCCGATCAATTCCCTTTTTAGTGCCAAATATTCTTACAGAGAGTTGATGTGGAACACTTAATGTCCTACAGATAAGATACAGACCAGACGGGCCGTTAGTTTTGAAGGGAATAAGCTGCACATTCGAGGGAGGGCACAAGATTGGCATTGTTGGTCGAACAGGGAGCGGAAAGACGACTCTGATCGGTGCACTTTTCAGGCTCGTGGAGCCCACGGGAGGACGGATCATCGTGGACGGTGTTGACATCTCTGGAATTGGAATTCACGACTTGAGATCAAGGTTCGGTATAATACCTCAGGACCCGACGTTGTTCAATGGAACAGTCAGATACAACTTGGATCCTCTCTGTCAACACTCGGATGCTGAAATTTGGGAAGTACGTCAAAGTTTAAATCCGTATGAGTATTCATATATATTACACAAGAATGTTATGCTTTCGATAAGAGATGTCGAAAAGATATATGAATTATAATAAAATTTCATTTGTTTCCGAAAAAATGCAGGTTCTGGGGAAATGCCAGCTGAGAGAGGTGGTTCAAGAAAAAGAAGGGGGATTGGATTCCTTAGGTAACAAGTTACATGATTCCATTATTACTTGGGATACAAGTATGAAGCATAAGGAGCCTTTTATGTGATTAACTAATGTCGGAAATTGGGTTTTCGAGTACAGTGGTGGAAGAAGGGTCGAACTGGAGCATGGGACAAAGACAGTTGTTCTGTCTGGGCAGAGCCCTTCTCAGGAGAAGCAGAGTGTTGGTTCTGGACGAAGCCACCGCCTCCATCGACAATGCCACCGACTTGATTCTGCAACGAACCATCCGCAGTGAATTCGCGGACTGCACCGTCATAACCGTGGCTCATCGGATCCCCACCGTCATGGACTGCACCATGGTCCTCTCCATCAGCGACGGTGAGCCCTTCGTTATTAAAGACCAATGGCTCGTAACAAAGTGTTGAGCAAGTTCTTGTGTCATTTTGGTAACCAAGTTCTGATAAATGGCTGAATTACGGATAATGGATTGTTGTGTTGTCAGGTCGGGTCGTGGAGTACGATGAGCCGATGAAGCTGATGAAGAGCGAAGGCTCATTGTTCGGACAGTTGGTGAAGGAGTATTGGTCTCACTACCACTCTGCCGGATCTCATTGAACACGGTCTTTGTGGTCTTCAGATTTCTTGTTTCTTAATTCTCGCCCATAGGATTAGACTATTTGTAACCATAATAATTGCCCTGACGATGATCACGACAATATGTAACATTAATAGGAGAGGGAAATGTTAACAAATAAGATATGGATTAGTGTTATGGTGTCCATTTAAATCTTGAATTTACAAAAAACATCTAAACAAAAATGAAAACAGGGGTTGGTTTAAAGTAAGTGTTAAAGACTTCAGTTAGATCTATCAGGGGATTTTGGGTTTTTTATTTTGCTTTTTCCCTCCTCTAATTTTTCAGAATTTCGGTCCGGTTTAAGATGAAATCCGATATCTTCTCAAACCGGTTTCCACAAATTTTTTTTTAAAAAATTGCTGACATGTCATATTTTAATCTAAAAATGTTTGTGTATGAGATGATATCAACAATAAGTGAACGTGTGGATTTTCGTTAGCCGCAATTTACAATTTGAAGGTTTTAGTAATAATGGTTTTGTAAGTTTAGGTATTTGTAGACAATTTTAAAGGTTGAATGTTTTATTGTATATATTTTAACAAGTTCAGTTTTTTTGGGAGTTTTGCTTCTTCTTTTTTTAAGTGAAAGATTCATAATTTTGCAGTAAAATTAACTGTATAATTGTTTTATTTAAAATTTTATATGTATCATAGAAGACAATGAATATCGAAGGCTTGAATGAAAGACTCCTCTATGGTTTGTCTAACTCAGTGACTCACTATAACTGAGTTGACTCAGATGGCTTTGGATTCATCACTGTAAGAGCTCAAGAGCTGGTTTTAAGAGATGTAAACTGCAGCCACCCGTATTTACGGTTGTCTGCCTCTATCTTACTATATACCTCAAAAGCTCATGAAACGCTTCAATCTCGATCCTTGTCTTCGCCATTTTCCGAGGCTCAATCATGGCCAAACCCGAAACCTAGCTCTGTCCGTACCCGATTTGGAATTCGGACCGGAATCACCGTGTGGAACAGCTTTGCTTGATAGCTTGCTGGGGAAGGTACTGGACTCGTACCCAGATCTCAAAACCCTAAAAAGTGTACATTGGAGAATCGTTCTGGATAGAAATTTACGCAGCAATTCGTCTTTGGGCGTGAAACTTATGAGGTCTTATGCAGCGCTCGGTGATGTGGCGTCCACACGCAAGGTGTTCGATGAAATTTCCGAGAGAAACGTGATTCTCTTCAATGTCATGATTCGGAGCTACGTCAACAATGGATTTTACCGTGAGGGCATCTCAGTGTTCGGAACGATGTTCGAGTTCGATGTCAGACCCGATCACTACACTTTCCCGTGCGTTTTAAAGGCATGTTCTTGCTCAGAAAATGTTGTGGTGGGGAAGAAGATTCATGGGTCTGCTACAAAAGCTGGGCTCTGTTCAACCCTGTACGTGGGGAACGGTTTAGTTGCTATGTACGGAAAGTGCGGGTTTTTATCAGAGTCGAGGCTTGTTCTCGACGAGATGCCCAGACGGGACGTGGTTTCTTGGAACTCGTTAGTGGCTGGATATGCTCGAAACAGGAGATTTGATGATGCTTTGGAGGTTTGTAGGGAGATGGAAACTATGAATATAACGCATGATGCTGGTACAATGGCTAGTCTCTTACCAGCCGTGACAAACACTGCTCAGGAGAATGTTTTGTATGTCAAAGATATGTTTCAGAGGATGGGGAAAAGGAGTTTAGTTCCATGGAATGTCATGATCAGTGTCTATATGAATAACGATATGCCTGCTGAAGCTGTGGAGTTGTATTCTCAAATTGAGGATCATGGGATCGAACCTGATGCAGTGTCTGTAGCTACTGTTCTTCCTGCTTGTGGGGATACTTCTTCTCTTTTGATCGGTAAGAAAATCCATGAATACGTCAAGAGAAAAAATCTGACACCAAATCTGTTGATAGAGAATGCCTTGATCGACATGTATGCAAAGTGTGGCTGTCTTGAAGGGGCGAGAGGTGTGTTTGCAAAAATGAAGTCCCGTGATGTCGTGTCCTGGACAGCTATGATCTCGGCTTATGGAATCAGGGGAAGAGGGCATGAGGCTTTGGAATTTTTCTCAAAGATGCAAGAATCAGGTCTCGTTCCAGATTCCATTGCATTCGTCTCAATACTCTCTGCCTGTAGCCATGCCGGGCTATTAGAAGAAGGTCGCTACCATTTCAAGCTCATGACAGATCATTACAAGATAGCTCCAAGGATCGAGCATTTTGCCTGTATGGTGGATATTCTTGGCCGAGCCGGGAAAATGAAAGAAGCATATAGCTTTGTACAAGAAATGCCAATGGAACCGAACGAGAGAGTTTGGGGGGCTTTGTTAGGGGCTTGTCGGGTACATTCCGACATGGATATCGGCCTGATAGCAGCTGACAAACTCTTCCAGTTAGCCCCCGAGCAATCTGGTTACTACGTAGTTCTCTCAAACATATACGCAAAGGCAGGGAGGTGGGAAGATGTAACAAAGATCAGATCTCTGATGAAGAGAAAAGGGCTGAAGAAGAATCCCGGAGGGAGCAACGTTGAGATCAATGGAGAAATCCACACGTTTCTGGTCGGTGACCGATCGCATTCGCAGTCTGAGAAGATCTACAGAGAACTAGACGTATTGGTGGGGAAGATGAAGGATTTAGGGTACGTTCCTGATTCCGAATCGGCCCTTCATGACGTGGAAGAAGAAGATAAGGAGAGCCATTTAGCTGTTCATAGCGAGAAGCTGGCCATTGTGTTTGCTCTGTTGAACACAGAGGAAGGTTCTTCAATCAGAATCACAAAGAACCTTAGGATCTGTGGGGATTGCCATGCGGCAGCAAAGCTCATCTCCAAGATCAGTAGGCGTGAGATTATCATCAGAGACACTAACCGGTTTCATGTCTTCTCCGATGGTGTTTGCTCTTGCAGTGATTACTGGTAAGAAGACTGTAAATTTGTCTAAAAGTTGCAGAAATTCTAGAAGAAGTAGATGGAGGAAGACCCAACAAGAGCAGCCCTTTGAGCATCTTTAGTTGACTTTTTGAATGATTAAAATGGTCAAATCAATGATTATATAACCTCTTCTTAAGTTGACTTTATGCATCACACCCCACCATTATTTGCAAGACATTTTCAAAGTTAATTTGTATACATTATATCAAATTCTCTTTGGTCGTATCTTATCTCAAAATTCAATATATATAAAATATATAGAATCATTGTATTATTAATTATTATATGTATGATAAATTAAGAAAACAAAACACAGAGTATCTTTTCCCCTTTTGAATTTTCTCAAAGTGCACATACTCAACCTTATTATAAAAACCGTCAAAGCAATAACTCTTCACACCAACAAAACAATGAACAATGTTCCAAGACTTGTTCTGTCTTCATTCTTCTTCTTCATCTCCGCCGTCCGTGCCGATGGTGGAGGAGGCATAGCCATCTACTGGGGACAAAACGGGAACGAAGGGAACCTGTCGGCCACGTGTGCGACAGGTAGGTACAAATACGTGAATGTTGCCTTCCTCGTCAAATTCGGAAACGGTCAGACGCCGGAGCTCAACCTCGCCGGCCACTGCAACCCCGCCGCCAGAACCTGCACCCGTTTCTCCTCTCAGATCATAGACTGCCAGTCCCGTGGCATCAAGGTCGGTCCATCTCATTTCATTAATATACGCTATTTTACGTGTCATATCATCATAATTTTCTAAATCGTGTCATAATATTGTAAGGAAAGGTAATGTTGTCTCTGGGCGGCGGAATCGGAAACTACTCGTTGGGATCTAAGGCAGACGCGGAGGCAGTGGCCGAATACCTATGGGACAATTACTTAGGAGGAACCTCTTCGTCTCGCCCCTTAGGCGATGCCGTCCTCGATGGTATCGATTTCGACATCGAACTTGGTTCTACTCAACACTGGGAAGATCTAGCAAGGTTAATCCCATGAAATATACGCAATATTTGTATTCATATCATTCTCCATATATATAGATGTTATAATATATAGTATCATGATGATTTTTTGGTTATAGGTTCCTCTCGAAATATAGCCGCGGAGGAAGAAAAGTATATCTAACGGCGGCTCCACAGTGTCCATTTCCCGACAGATTCATGGGAACTGCACTAAACACGGGGCTGTTCGACTATGTCTGGGTCCAGTTCTATAACAATCCTCCATGTCAGTTCAGTTCGGGTAACACGGTTAACCTTTTCAAGTCATGGAAAACGTGGACCACTTCCATTAGAGCCTGCAAGATATTCTTGGGTCTTCCGGCGGCTCCGGAAGCCCCCGG